ATTTTTCCGCCCCCTTTTCGCCTGGTGGGCTCAAAGACCTTGTTTACATTTTCTACACCAACAAAAGAAACACCCTGGCAGTGGCCAAAGGGAGAATTTACAGGCTGCCCGTGCAACCCCAGTGCTTCTACAGAGCAAGTCTCTGGCTGTGGCAAGGCAGGCAGAGGAGGCTGAAGGCATCAACAGATCGGGGAGCCGCCAGTGCCCTCCTAATGCACCCGCTGCTCAGGGAACACAGCAAGAATCGAGTTGCTTCCTGCACTGAGGCATTAAAAAAAATAGAAAACGGGAAATTACTATGGAGACGGCACTCCATTTTAGTGTGTATTCATACTTTTCATCAGGCTCGATCTGGTAGAGGGGAGAAAGGACGTCTCCTACTCTCCTCTTGCTGGTATGACCTGTCATACCAGGCTCTGGTTTCTAAAGTAGCAAGAGGCTCCTTTAGCAAAGGCAAACAGACCTCGGCAGCACATAAATGGTGTAGTCATCTGCAGCGCACACGGAGGAGGCGATGTTGCTTCAAAAACACCGTGGAATTCCTGCCTCCACAGCCCTCAAGGGCCCCGGGGAGCAGAGCGGCTGCAGCAGAGCTCGCCATCACCTGAGGACGCTGTCGGAAGCGACGCCAAACCCCGGGCAGCGCGGAGCATCGGCACAGCCGCTCCTGGCACCGTCCCATTGAAGCATCTGTCTGTAAGACCACGCGGATGATGCCACGAGGGTGCAGTGCAGACAGAACCCAGGCTTGCCGCCCCGCACTAAGAGTGAAGAGGCTCTGGAAAAACCGTCCCCGTTGTGCTTAGTCCCTGCACAAAGATTTACCGCTTCTCTGAAGCGCAGGGCAACGGTGCAGTAAAACCCACCCTTGCATGAGCCTCGGATACGACCAAACTGCTGGAGAAGCCCTCTGGTTCTCCAAGTATCCCAGGTGCCTGATCCATGGGAACGCCACTGACCGCTAGCAGGGCTTGGGTCTACCCAGAGCTGGAGCTCCGGTCAGGAGAGGTGCAAGATTCCCTGATGGAAACCACTGCAGGGCAACTGGAGCGTGTACGGCTGCTCCAGCATCATCTGCAGGGTTAAAAAGAGGAGATCCTCAACAGGTGCAGCAAGATCCTTCTATTCACAGCCACGCTTCTACCTCCTGCCCCTGTTCCAGGGATTTTGCATGGCCAGGTATTACCTGCTCTCTTCCCCAGGGTGTAATTCCAACCTGCCCAACGTTAGGAGCCCGGGTCTCTGTGCCGGGCCGAGGTCCGAGACTGGCGGCTGTTGTCACCTTCCTGGGCCAAGGGGACACATCATGGGAAAGAGGTGGGAACACGCAGAAAGCCGGACACTAGAGCAGCTCCAAACAGCTTCTCCCAAAGCCAAACCCGCACCCGCATGAAGCTAAGGGCTATTCCCAGAGCTCCTCCTGCCATTCCTACAAGCTGGTTGGATTTCTGCAGCCTTGGTTGTCTGCTTGTCCTAAGACAACAAAACAAGTTGCAAGTGTGTTAAAGCAAATCACAAGGAGCTTTTAAGGACAGTACAGTTGTTTTTTGCATTTAGACAAAGGCAAGCTGTTATAAACAAAATTCTGCCTACAGAAACGAGATTTGGAGGCCGCTGTCTTGAATGAAATTCTGGGTGCAGGCCAGCTTCTTATTCAGACAGTCAGAAGCTAAATTCAAAATCACATTTTAGTTCTGCCCCTTGGCGATGTCACACTCCATCTTGGTGGCCATAAGTGATGTGTGAGCAGCCCTTTTTCCCCCAAAGCCACACGGAGCGGGTCGTCCCCACAGACGGGCTCCAGGAGCAATGTCTTGCTTTGCCGGCCGTTAGCTGCTCCGCGTGGATCCCCACGGCACCGGCACCGGGAACGACCACCTTGGAGGAGAGGCGGGGAGCTCCCCGCTGCGAGCACGACTCCCTCTCTCCTCCTACCCACATGCTCCAGGTTAACGGGGAATTTCTAATGCTCACTCTCTTGCCAAACTGTTTCTGCCTAGTGACTTGGGGCGCGGAGCAGCTTCAGGCCCTCTCCTCTCCCCCGTCTCTGCCCCCTCTTCCCGCTGCCCCATTACGCGGCTCTCGCCCTGCTAAACAACCTCCCGTGGCTCCCACTGCCAGGAATTCTCCCCGGCATCGGGGAAGGGAAGGAATGCGAGAGGGAGGACTCGCATGGCAGCTACACCTCCCCCTGCACACAGCACCCACCCTCCAACAACACAACAAGGCTGCCTGTCATCTGAAACCGGAGCCAGCGCCGCAGCCAAAAAAGCTCTTTTCCTAAGAATCCCAGGCAGCTGAAGCCCTTAAGTGATTGTATCCCTTCTGGGGGCCTCCAACTAATTTCAATAACTGCAAGACGCAGTATTTCCTTCCCAAAAGCCGGTTTGGGAAGTGTATCAAAGTACTGAAACCTGAACAAGGCAAACTGCTGCACACAAAAGGCAGCACAAGTATTTCAGCAATGCAACGCTAAAAACTGCAGCCCGCTGCAGCGCGGGCTCTCCACGAGCGAAGGGCTTTGCGGAATGCTGATACCGGCGCTGGACAAAGGCTTCCCTGCAAACGTCTCTGCTCACAGCAACGAAAAATAGGCCGGGGAGATGTATTTATGTCCGTGTAGTGAGCTCTGTGACTGAAAGAGCAGATCCAAAGCTGACAAAAGACTGATATATTCACTTCTCTGTACACTCGACTAGAAAGCTGAATTCCAGGGAGTTTATGCACACAGTATTTCAAGCTCAGCCTAAGCTTTTTTGCCTTTACACTCAACAGAACTATTTTAAGCAGAAGAGGCAAAATTTAGGCACAAAGATTTTTATTGAAATAAGTGCCACTTCTGAGCTTTAATTAAAACTATATTTATTTAGGAACGGAAAGACTAAATTTATTTAGGAACGCAGAGACAGGCTTCTGCATTCCTATTGGAGAGGCAGCCCAAAGTGAGACCCTGGGCACAAGCAAAGCTCTTTTATGGCCCATCTCACTACCACAAAACATTAGGCGTGACAGAGTCGGTTCAAACAGCATCTCACATTTTAAGAACCCTTCCTGTTACAGATAAGGCAGAAGTGGCTATCGAAGTGGGCATCAGAAAGGGGACTCGGTTGTGTGCTGAGATCAGAGATAACTTTGGACACTTACAGCATGTCGGGACAGTTGTCCGGCTTTTCCAGCAGGCCTCCCTCCATCACGAAGCGGAGCACTTGCTCGTTGGTCATGCCTTGGTACGGCTGCTCTGCTAACGTCGCGATCTCCCAGAGCACAACCCCAAAGGACCTGCGAAACAAAGCGGAGCTTTAGAAGGCCACGCAACCTTACAGATCCTGTTCTTTGAGGATGCTGAGAAGGAGAAAATCCAGCTGCTCCAAGAGCACACACCGGCGGTGGCGTCTGCATCTCCTAACAGAGGCAACTGCTCACGGCCAACACCGCTAGCCAAGGGCCAGAAACAGGTTCCCAGGTCAGAATGACCCTTCAGAAGGGCCTCTCTGCTGACTCCGTAAGCAAGACTAGGAACAGTAGATGTTTTTTCATGCCATAGTCTACAGCTCAGAGCATGATCATGACCAAAGGTTCAGTGTTAGTTGCTTACACAGGGTCTATAAAGGTGTAGCTGTAAAAAACCCACCACGAACTCCTCGCTCTCACCAGAATTCTCCTATACAGAGTTAAACTGGGAGCTTGCCTGGAAAAAATGAGCTCCAACCTCAGTTCCCTTTCCCATGCTTTGAGTTCAGACCTAGGTTTACTGGAAACTGGGAAACCTAGTGAAGAAGGGAAAGGCAAAAAGGCAGGGGAGAAAACAGCGCTCCTGTCCCTGCACTTCCAGTGTGGGGGATCCCAGGGCTCCGGACTGACCGGACACCTGACTGCTGAAGTGAGAAACGCAAACGGTGCCCAGCTCCTCATACCCAGAGTCTACTCTGCTGCATCAGCAGCAACATATTCCAGCCTTCAGGAGAAAGCCAGTTATTCCCTTTGCAACACATATGTACCCAGGCTCTTGAGAAAGAGCTGTTAACTCCTTCCTACCAAGATTTTCCTTATCTGTACCAAAAAAGAAAGTTGTTCTAACAGCAGGAATTGATTACTGGCAAAGCAAAGTAAATATATTTACATAACTGGGTTGTTGTCAACGTAATTTTTGAAAACATAATTTTTGACCCTTTCTAAACATATCAATCCCAATTTAAAACTAGTTGAGTGAACAGACAAGGCTGAAATTGTCCTCCCCACAATGAGGGATCATCTACTTCTAAGCTGCTGCGCAGCAAAAGAAAATCTAGACACGGTCCTGATTTCTGCAGCGAAAACGCTGAGTCAGGCCTGGAGAAAGCCGTGTGGCATCAATAGGGTATTGTTGTGGAAACAGGAGTCCAGTATTATTAGGTGGTTATGGCGGAGTGGTTTTATCTTTCGTTTATCCACTATATCTGAAAGGGTTTGCAGCTGAAGCCAGAAGCCACAAACAGACTCGCAATTGTTTGTGTTTCGGGGCAGGGTCGGCTCCACATTTGGGTGCCTTTGAAGCCACTTTGATCGCGGCAGGGATAGGGAGAGCGAGTCTGCTGCACCTCCCAGCCACAGCATCGGAGCAAATGAACTCACGGGGCTCCGTGGAGGCAACTACCAGCTCTGAAAAACACAGCTGAAGATGCTGAAGGCTGACTGTAACACAGAACAGTATTACATTCGCTTTAAAATATTCTCCTTCCTAACTACAACAAAAAACAGTCCTGTTTAATTACCTCATTCTTCTGTCTGAAGAGCAATAAAAGAAAGAATTACCAAAATAAAGCTCCACCCTTCCAAAGCTCCAGACGCTCTTTTGCAGTTTGCCACTTCACCTTACAGCTTATAAATCTTGGACTCTGACCATTTGCACAGTTTTTTAACATTTTGGCTTCTAAAAACGATGTCTAAGAACATGAAACCAGATGTCACAATATCCCACCAAAAAGGCAGGAAAAATGATCTCAATATTCTTTTTTATAGTATGAAAAAAACACCAATTGTCCCAAACGAGCCAAACAGAGCGGTGTTCACGATGCAACTTCAAAACCCGAACCCATGCCAGGAAAGCAGGTGATTTTTCCTGGCACGAGGCCTTCAATGTACAGCACACGGTTGGTCTATGGGTTGGTGCAAAGTAGACCGGCGTTATCATCTCGGCCACGAGCAGCCCACAGAGCTCATCATTATTTCACGACAGAGGTGGAGCTCGGATTGAAATCCCCGAGTCTATGGCTGGGGAGCACAGGACAGGCCGGGCACTACGTGGTGGACACAGACAGCACATTCACCGTGTCAAAACAGCTTTTCATAGGGCAGACAGTGCGTCTACGTGAGCAAAATTTCGGAAAACGAAGGAGCTTCTTGCCATTAGCTGACAGGCCATCCCTAAGACCACTTCCAAAAGGCACCTTTTATTTTTTTCGCCCCCTCTTCTCTCTAGCCTTAAAGTAAGAACATTTCACATCTTTCTCCTCTATCTCTCCTACCTCTCGAAGGTTTCCAACTTTATCTTTCAAGTCTAAACGCGGGAATTTTTCTGGGGAATTTGCCTCAAATTTTTGTCCTCTTTGTGAAGCCATTACAAACCCTGGGTACATACTTATGGATACGTAAGAAGTTAGAGGTCATGAACATAATTCAATAAGTAATATTCTAATGTTTTGCTTTTTTGTTAGTTACAGAATTTCCGCTGCAACCCTTTCACTCAAAGCTGGTGCTATAGAATACAGTCTGCTGACTCCAAAATCATCAAAATGTTTAAAGAAAATACAGTTTACTACTAAAATACAATTCCTACTGACTTCTAGACATTTGGAGGCAATCAGCTGCCAATTCTGTAACATATCAGCAGTAAAAACATCTTGTTAGGAAGGCAGAGAAACCATAAAAGAGCAGAGGTTTTGCCAGTAAATGTTCATCTCCTGCCAAGCTCTCCCTATCTGCAAGCTGGGGTCAGGGGGAAATGTTCCAGAGTATTGTTTCTTTTAAGTATATTTTGAAATTTCCTGAACACCTCTATTAATAACTTCAGATAGTGCAATCATGCCATGTGCTTTTAAACAAAAAGGTATTTTTGCATTTTGTTGCATACAAGGAATACACACACAGGAGAACGCTAAGGAGAAGCTTGCTCATGTACACCAACTGTGTGGGGAAAAGTAGAATTATTTTCACAGAGGTTGTGATAGAAGGCCAGGTCAGCACCAGGAGCCTTTTCATATTCTTGGCAACTTTTAATACTTTTCTTGAAGGAGGCAATTGGAAAAACGACCGCTTGCTCTTCCAGGTAAAGGTGATGTTTTTCACTGCACAACTGATTTTATAAACCCCAGCAGGAAATATGCCTCTACCTCTAGTTTTGGAAATCCACTTCAGACTTGGTCTCTGAGAGCAGAATTTAACCTCACAAACTCTTGATTTTGCAATAGGACCATGATACAAAGGGGAGTCCCTCACATGGAAGGAGAGCACTACCCTTGAAGAGACAGAAGCTGTATATTAAGTCAGTTTAAACAAGAAAAGAGGCTAGAAAGAAGGGCTAAAACAGCTTTTCACAGCCCATTTTTGTTACCAGACATCGGAGTGCGTTGTGAAGACTCCATCTTTCAGTGATTCTGGGGACATCCAGCGGACAGGTAACAAACCTTTCCCTCCTTTACGATAATAATCTGTCTCGTAGATATCTCTCGTCATGCCAAAATCTAGAAGAAGGTACAAATTCTGTGAGTTCGTATGACAAAGCAACAAATATTTTCATTACTACGTGCTACTGTAACCCGCAGAGAATCACAGTTTGAGGTAAAGAATCTGCAATCTGTTACCATGGCACTTTCCTTTGCAGGCACTTCCCCTGTCTACTGAGGGCTGCTCAGGCTCCTGAGCAGCAAAACCAAAGGAGTTTTTTACCACTGACTTCTATGGGTCAGGACCGAGTCCAGGCAAGTCTGAATGATTTAAATCAAAAATCCAAATCCAAAGGAGCCCAAATCAATCACAAATCAAATCAAAAAAAAAAAAAAAAAAACCACCCACAAAATCCCTCCAGTCTAAGCAACTTTCACCATTGTTACTACCAGTCTACAGCTTGCCTGAGTGACCACTGATCTTTCCTGCTCCTTGTCTGTTAGGGACACTGACACCATTAACAAGTTTGACTAAAAACACCCATCTGTGCAGCTACTCCGTCACTCCCACACACCAGGGTGACTTAACCCTGGTGTGAAAAATTCTTTAAAAACTTAATGCAGATAAGAAACAGATATGCAATGAGCAGAGGACAGTGTAACATAAAGCTCTTCTTTTGTGATCTAAGTAGTCCGAGTTGGCGTGTTCCAGTCAAGATGTTCCCAAACTGTTCCTGCGTGAAGGGCTTTTCAACACCAGCCTATAACTGGGAGCAGGACAGGGCATTTCCAGGAATGCTTTTAGGGTAACCATGTTACAGGTAAGAAATGCCCCGCACGCAGTTCAGTGAATTGTGAAGTGGTGTGGGGGAAGGAGGAGTGAGAAAACTGGAACGAGGAAGATTTAGACCAACTTCCACCAAACCTACAGAAAATGAACACTCTGCCAACCCAAAGATCTTACTCCTCAGCTAACCAACACAAAATGGAATAATTTTCTTTCAAAAGACAGTATTGCTTACAGGAATTAACAACACATCCAAGCTAAGCTCAGAGCAAAAAGAATTAGTTCCCTGCAGCAGCAGGCTGTTCATACATACTATTTTAATATGCACAACTCTAAAACAGCCAAAAGCTTAGAAATCACCCTCTTTGGAGAGGAGTCTGAAAAAAACTCATCTGACACTATTTTGGAGAGGTGGTGAAGGGAAGGGGAAAAAAAAGAAAGGAAAAAACAAAGTAGTGTTCTAACCACAGCAGAGGAAAAGCTGTTCTGTTGTTTGGAAAGCAGAACCCCAGTTCAGATTGGAAAGCATCCAGCTGAAGTCAAACCTTACATTTCACTTCCAAATGTGATATGCTTTAGAATAATCCTAAAATCGTCATTCTTGAATTGATAAACAGGAGGTGGGATCACTATTGTGCATTAATAAACAAAGGAAATGACACAGCCATGGTAACTGCACCGTTCACCCAGATGCCTGCAGCATCTGCACCTCCAATCACTGCTCCACCAGCTCCTTTTAAACCCTTACACTATATTACTTCCTCGCTGGAACAACAGCAAATAGAGACATTCCAAGAGCAGTGTTGACTGCTCACAGGTCTTAAATCACACCAAGCCTTCATGGGGAACATATTTCATTCTGCAGATATTTAACAGAGCGTTACATTTTAAAAGATGTGAAAGATCTTTCAGACAGCTTTCAAAAAGTTAAAATGCCTTCCGAGATGCTGATTTTTGTGATGATGTTTTTCATTTGTGTCCAAGTCAAGAAAGCGCACCTCCAATTTTCACAGTGAAGTCCTCTGCCACCATGCAGTTTCTCGCAGCAAGATCTCTGTGAACGAATTTGTTGGCGTTGAGGTATGCCATCCCATCAGCAATCTCTCCTGCCATCTGGATCATCTTCTTCAGAGTTGGAGGTGCCTGACCAGGATTACTCTAAGCAAGATTAAGATGAAGAAATGGTTAAGAGGAAAAGAAAGAAGCAACTATTTCTACATCAAATTGCAACAGACTATCATTCTCCCATCAGATCATCACAATTAAACGGGGCAAGAATGAGACTGAACAGAAAATTATGCATATACAGACCAGAATATCTTAGTGGGAAAACTGGACCTATCAAACTGAGTTACACGGAGAACTTTGAAATAACTCTTTTATAACACACCACTCTATTTAAGAGAATTCAAGCAAGCAGAAATTTTTGATGTAAGGGTTTATATCATCTACCCAAGGGGTTTAAATGCCCATCCTTCTGCCACACAAGTTGCAAAGTACAAAGCAAAAGAGTTACCTTAAAGACTTCTATTAATTTGTTTTACTCTCTCTCCCAAAAGAGAAACGGATGACGTTAAATGATTTCATTCACTGCACCCCAATTCTCAATTCTCCATAATTAGATGTTTCTTGAATTACTTTTACTTGCAAAAGGAGAAAAACCTTCTGAAACAGCTTCTTCTGAAGCAGTTTCACTCCTTATCCATTCATGGGTATGTGGCTCCTGCATTTCTCCATCTCTCAGATGGAGGATTTCAGGTATACATCAGTATCATCTCACAATTCCTTACCAGTATGGATTTAGCTAAGACTAATGGCCTTCGGGTAATCTTCACTGACACTGTAACCAAAAAGGGAGCCTCAAATCTGTGATTCTAGCGATGACAAATGTGAGCTGATCCCCCAGGAATGAAAGGAAGACAGGGCAGAGGTTGGTGAACCTGTTGTCAGGGCCCTCTGCCCACACGGGCCTTGCTCATCATCCAGGTCCTCAGCAAGCTTCACGCAGCTCTTTCCATTGCACATTAATGAAGACAGGGAATTCAGGACCTGGCCTACCACAGAATGCTTTGGAGAGCACCAATACACAAGCAGAAAAGCAGAGTGCACAGCTCACCATTTTGGTAATTTCCATATAACATCACTGCCCCTTGTCACAAAGATTGCCAAATTCAATTACACTCAACTAAAACCATTTAATAGAACCTGAAACATTATTAATCACAGATGCTAGCCATAACCTTGGTCCATTTATTACCATATTCATTTTTATATATGTCACATGCCCACTTTCTGTTTCTGTAAGTTATTCGTATCAGAAGTGCTAGATCATGAAAATAATGGTCAAAGAAAACTGCTGAGCAAATTTTCTACGTATTTCACTGTTACTTCAGTGGCAAATGACCTCTATATCTTCTTTATCTTTCAGACTCTGTATGTGGCAATTTTAGCTGCTAGACTTTTTCCCGACAGATTAAAGGATGCATATGAGCTAAAACATTAGATGTTAGCAGACTTTGCAACAGAGGCAATACACAGGATATACATTGTGAACCATCATCCTAACAAGAATTTTTGTTTAGCCTCTTAATGAGAAGTAAGATTAGACGAGGTTTAAAGAAAATCTGGAAAATAGGGCTCAATGACACAAGAGGGGACCTATTCAGCACAGTATCCTGGGGCATTAGCAATGACTTCCTCGTGAAGAAAGGTGCAGAGCACAGAGCAGCTCGTGTTTCATTCTGAGAGCTGCTTAAGGAGAAGGGCAAAGCTGGCTAACTACTAGAGGTTATAAACAAACTTTCCCTTCACTAAGAGCAGAGCTCGGATACAGGGCAGTAAATTAAAACAAAACAAAATAAAACAAAACAAAATAAAACAAAACAAAATAAAATATAACAAAATAAAATAAGATAAAATAAAAAATAAAAACCCACAACGGAAAAACAAAACAGACCTTTGTTACAAACTCTCCATATACTTACAGAATAGGCGACAAGGTAATCCGCTCCCTACCCTACTCTGACTGCTAGTAGTGAAAGCAAATTACACCAAATGGTTGGTCTATAGGTCAAAAAGAAAAATAATCACGGAGCAAGTTATATTAATGAATAATGCTAAAAATATCTGCTAACTTTAACTGTTTCTGCAAATAGGAATCAAAACTAATTTAAACTCTGAATTTCTGCAATGGTCTGCTTTTAAGGGAATATTTAATTTAACAAATAATTCAGGACCGTGACATTTAAAAGAAAAGGAAAAGGGACAGAAAGGAGGAGGAAATTACCCAAGAAAAATCTTCAAACCCAACCATATAGACCTCGACCAGCGAGGCTCAGCTGTGGCGCCCGTTCAGTGCAGAGGACTGGGTCACTAAGCATCTGAAAGGTTTGTTCTGCAGAGAAGTGACAGCTGCTCCCTAGACGTGGAGAACCTGACAACAAGGGTCAGCTTGCTGCTTCCACCCTTTCCTTTCAAGATGTTTCTAAACAAAGAAATAAAAGAAAATATCTAACAGCTCCTGACTCACCTCTGTGTCTGGCCTCAGTGATCTCAGGTAACTTTTGAGGTCTCCACGCGTCATGAGCTCCATGATAACCAGTGTTGGCTGGCCCTGAGAAACGACGCCAAGCAGCCGAACCTGGAAGAGGAAAAACACAATCACAAATGAAAACGCAATCACAAATCTGGCTGATTATAATGGTATAAACATTAATTCATGTTAACGAACCTGTGGGCAAGATCTGGAGGTGGTGTACACTCCCCAATGAGAGTGTATTAATACACTGCACAGAGTTAAAGCTAACATCCCGCACTGCTCCAGAGGCAGTGCAGACCTGCCCTGAGCACCCTCTTCCCTGTAGCCATCTCTGGATCAACTGCAGCCTTCCTTCATTTCGGTCACTTACCACGTGGTGACAGTTGAACTCCTTCATCACCGAGGCCTCGTTCAGGAACTCTATCCTCTCACGCATGCTTGCGGACTCATTGACAGTTTTGATGGCCACTCTGGTCTCCGGCTCATCCTTCACCACTCCTTTGGCTATTCCCTCGTAAACCATTCCGAAGGAGCCTTGCCCCAGCTCCCGACACATGGTGATCTTCTCGCGGGGCACTTCCCATTCGTCGGGAACGTACACTGAGGGGACAGAGAACAGCCATCATGTTGGCAAGTGGGAGATCACTCTTGGCTTTAGGACACCAACTGCCCAACCTGGTTACTGGAACAACAGCACAGCCAATGCTCACAGCTCACACGATGCATACAGTTATTGTACGGTTTTCCCTATACAGAGATGGGCAGATACTTGCCATATTGATAAACCTTAACAACAAAGACAGGTACATGGATTTGAAAGGGTCTCACTATAGTCCTGACATATTGTGAGAGAAATAAGGAACCTCAAAGCACAGAACGGGGTGGGAAGAAGCCTTCAGGCTTGAGCTTTTCTTGCGATCCTTGGTTTTCTAATTCTTCCAGACAGCATCAAACATACTTGATCATCTGTATCAATTTAGTGCCTGCTGTATTCTCTATTAGCGGATTGATTTTACAACCACAGAGAAACTTCCTCTCCAATCTCGAGGTGTGAAACTATCCTGATCACTCGCACACACTCTGCTGCTCCAATTAGAGGCAGATTTTGCTGCTCTGGCGCCCTTGGGCAGAAGAGACACCCTGGATGGTGACAGCCAGAGGGACAAATGCCCCCGGCAAGGAGACGTCCCAGCTCTGAGCAGCCACCAATGCTGCCGCCTATCCCCCACCAAAGGAGGGGACAACTGGGCCACACGCTCTGGATGAGGGAAAATACAGGATGCAGAAAAAAGCATTAGAGCAGAAAAGTCAACAGATTTTTAAGTCTAGCAGTACTGCTAGAACAAGTAACACTAAAAGAGTCATCTGCCACTCTGGCTAAACCTAGGGGCTTTCGGAAATTCCTGCAAGGAGAGTAATGCAGCAGCCCCAAAGCAAGCCATAAACAGAAGAACTGAAGCCTCAGGCAACTTCTTTTGATGCTCTGACTACGTCCAGGACTTGCAGAGCTCTGCACATACCTGATCAGTGTGGGCACATGCATTCACACTGCTAGGTTGTAAAAAACAGCCAATATTTACGTAGCAAGAAAGGTGCCAGTGGGACCCTAGTGACTCTTTTGGCCATAAAGCCAAATCTCCAGGGTTCTCCGTACCAGAGCAGCTCTTGCACACAGGCCTTCTGCAGACACAGAGCTGTAGATACCTGGACCATGAGGGTCATTCAGCTCCTGCTGCTGCTCAGTGGCAGCCAGCACAGAAACTGGCAAGAACTTCACCCCCCCCCCCCCTGCCACACTGACAGGCAGGAAAAGAATACAGAAAGCAACACCAAAGGAGAGTGCACTATTCTAGGAAAAGCAGTTGCCTTTTTTTAGAATTTTTACTTCTTGGAAAGTTTCAAGGAATTTAATCTTGTTCGAGATCAGGCGAAAAAAATCCATTTTCTCAAGGTCCAGAATTTTGGCAGAGCTATTCAGGCATGTTATATACACAAGAAAATAAAACCAAACAATCTTAATGAACCATAAACCTTAATCTTCCTGAAATCAGCTTTAATTCTTGCTTGTTATTTGGCAGTGAGCACCTTCACCATTGTCCTGCTGGAAATGTCCTGCACAGGCTTCCAAACCACCCCATGCTGTTGGATTTTCTTGGTCTCGTTGCCAGTCGCACAACCTGTCACCCAGCCTCCTGGGTAACAGTGCACTGAGCGAGCTCCCAACCAGCACCCCGAGCCCCTCAAAAAGATGTTTCAGACCACGCGATTATCTTTTCTTATTATGTTTAGGCTGAGTTTTCTTGCAATGAACATATTAGATTCTTCCATTTCTTTATGGGAAGTGAAATAAAGAATGAAGTCTTTTTTTTGCCACAGCTAGCGAGCAATCTCTGAACACTGTTGTCATCTCCAAACATGCATTTGCCACAAATATATTGTCAGTCTGAAACTAGTTTTAAATAACTGTTTTGCCAGCTAGAGAAAAGCAGGGCTATTTACATGCTACACATCAAGAAAAAGAGTATGGATTAAGCATCTGCGTTTATCTTATCTCCAAATTTCTGCACGTGATACACCCTGAAAGCTCACAATATTGCTTGTCTTTTTCCAAATGCAAAAAGTTATCAGAAAGTTTTATTGGGAAGGGAAGTAAGAAAAAGGTATTGTCTTTTTTTCCCCCCACATAAGAGTGTTTTATTTTGCTAATCGAGCAGAATAGGACTTGGAAGACCAAACACAAGAGGCAATGAATGCATTAATTCTTTATTTGCAGTGAATGTGATCTAAAAGAAGTTGCTCTATGAATGAGTGATAATCTAAAAATTAAACTAAAGTATGTAATTTATCTCAGCTGAATAAACTATAGAGAAAAAGTACATCCATCCCCCCCATTCCAGTAAACTGGCGACATTTATATATTATCAATGATGGATTACCCACAGGTGTGCTAACAAAATGGTCAGAGAAAGGAGTTTTACTCCATCTTTTAGAGGCCTGCATCTTGTGAAGTGGGACACAAACAGAGGACATGAAAGGAAAAGCATCCAAGTGCAAGGTCACACTTACCGTCTGAAGCACTGAAGTACTCCGGGTTCACAGAAGCGAACAGTACCCCATTGCCAAGTCTGTCACTGTTCCTGTTGAAACATTTTTTTTTCTTTCTTAATCTTTAAAGCTAAGCAAATTTCGGGCCACCTCTTCTATGGCTTTTCTACTGTTTGCTCAACTGCAAAATATTATTTACTGTATGTGGAGAGCTTTTCGGAGAAAGAGGACAAACAAAGTTGTTCTTATGTGCACCTCACCTAATCCATGGGAAATCAATCCTAAACAGTGTTCCCAGGAAATTCCCCCTTCAGTCTTCTCTATACCAAATCAGCACAAGAAAGGCAAAAAACATAAGGCATTTTTATTTGCTAAGTAAACCTCCTTTAAGAAAAGCAGCTGAATTGTGATACACAAACAAGACCTGTGGCTGAGAACTGTGGAAAGAAGTGATTTTGCTAAGCACATGATTGGTTTTACGGGGAATTCCATTCAATTGTTTTATAAATTGTTTCTGTGTTTTATTTTAACCTCCTCCTGCTTTTCCCTCAATTTCTTGAGGTGATTTTCAGGATAAGACATACTTGCTCAGCGCTGTAAGAGCTCTTGCAGGAGGCAGGCTGCACAAATAAAATTGTCCATCAGACCTTAGAAAGTCCAGCACTAAAGAGACCAAATGCTTTTGTGAGAGAGAACAAGGGCTGCAAGAAGAGTTATACACATTCGACACAGGAGAGCTCTAGGGGAGGCCAAGCAGATACCCTGCATCACCAGACACAAAGCCCGTTGCTTGAATGCTGGAGGAGAACAGGTACAGTCTCCATGTGAATGAATTAAGAGCTGTAAATAATGGGATCGTTCCCAGCAAGTATAATTTATGAGTATATAATTAGAAAGTCTATACATAAAGAGTTGCAAGGCTGAACACATTTGCACTGACTTCTATTAAGTTCTCATTGAGTATTTCTTCAATTAAAAAGAGAAAAAAAATCCCTAGTAGTGAAAAGCAAAACTGAAGAAAAGGAACCAATTTATCATTCTCCTCGATGGAGACTGCTCTGCCCAGCAGTTATTTTTTCTAAATGAATGTAAAGACTTAAAAAACCTTTAGAATTTGGGAGAAATCAAATTAGCCTAAATTGAACTAAGCTGCCTAAATTGAACTAAGCTTTTATGGTTTACAAACTGGCCAAAATTTCAGGCAAAGCTTCCAACTATAAAAGGTTCAGTCTCCGCCATCACGGTCCCAGTGGATATGTTCCTGACAACCCTTCCTCTTCCCTCCCAAACATGATACTGTAATAAAAAGCCTCTTCATATCTCAAACGGCAACCAGATGCTCGCTGGTAACTCTAAACCAGCTCCCTTTACACGTCAACAGGACAGAATTTACGTTAGCGTCTCCCGCTCAGTCCTCCGAATGCCATTTCACTTCTTCGTGTCCAACCTACTCCGTGGGCACGGACTTGGAAACGGATATTCCCCCCCGTGCAATCTGGCTTTAACCACAAGCAGAAAAAAACTCACCGTTTTTTGTTAAAGACGTACAGCATTATCAATAACCCTCCGATGATGAGCAGGAAAGCGATGGGGAGCACGATTATCAAGTGCAGGAAGTTGCCATAGTTTGCTGCTGCAACCAACAAGAAAACAACTGTGTCAAGGACTCTATGGAACCTCCATTAACGAAGAAACATTCAAAATGTTTCCACATATTGCCATACAGGGGAGAAATCAAAGTAATCATTTTCTTGTCTGATAAGGAGAAATGTACTCAGAAATACCACCTGCCTGCAGCTGAGTAGAACTAGAAAACAGACAGTGAAAAGCATTAATTTTATACAGAACAGTGTCTGTCTGAGGTTATGCTCAACATTGTGCTTTTAAAGACGTACATTCCTCAGGGAATTACATGCTTACCCTTGCAATTGTTTATACCCTTATTCAGAATATACACACACAGGTTTTTACTTCAATAAAGACCAGCAATAAAAAAAATAAAAAAAGATGAAGTGCTAGTTTTTCCACACGTACGTCTATTCTTCAGCTAAATACCGAGGCTTTCAAGGGAGTCCCTGTATTCACTGTACAGTGTTCTTTCTCCAAAATATAAAACACTCCCATGGTCAGGACTAGTCTTACCATTTAATCAGTGTGTGACCTTTATCAAAATGTCACTGAGGTCATATGATAAAGCGTTGTGAAATAACAAAAAAAAAACCCTACAAACAAACCTGCCAGCCCTTATTGAAACAATCTGCTTTTCACACCATTTTACATTTTAAAGCAGGTTTGCAAAATTGCCCCGGATTTTGTATAATCCAGCTTCACATTGCTACTCCCACCATTACGTCTCCCAGCCACGAGTAGCAAAGCACAGGGGAACCACAGCAATGTGTCCCATACACGTATTACCCATTCACATGGCAAAGATCCATGCAATGAATGCAAGGTGACAACCACCTCTCAGAGGGACCTTGTGTTTGAGGGCACTTGCCAAAAAAAGAACACAGGAGAGTTCCCAAAAAAGGCATCAGCAAATCGAAAGGGTATTCGATGCGCAGACAAGAGATTTGTACATTCAATTGCATGCATTAACAACAGAAATCATTTTAAAAAATAATAATCACACATTTTGACACAGCCTATTCTTCTTACATTTGGGCTGCACATAGAAAGAGACTGGCTCAGTCCACGACCCATTCCCAGCTAACGAAGTGGCCTGAACTCTGGCAGAATAGTTCCCAGGATTCAGATGAGTTAGTTTAGCTCCTCCAAGCTTCTTGTATTCCTGTCTGGAAACACATTCCCGCTTCTCCTGAAAGAAGAAAAAAGCAACTTGCAGTTCATATTAATATCTTCACACTCTTCATTCTTGAGAAAACAATAAGGCTGCAAGATAATCTTGCTTCTTTACAGGTAAAAGCGCCATCGGATCAGTTTTCCTTCAAGCAAGTTAAGATGTATGAAATTCAGAAGCTGCCAAAAAATAAAGCAAAGCAATGTCATGCTGCCTGGTGCTGGGTGTTCAAAACCATGATTCCCATCTGCAGTCTCTAGCAGGTAGAAATACTTAATAGGTATCTCAGGCCGCCCGTGTGTAAAATGGGACTAAGCAGAACACTACTCAAATATTCAAATCTTGATAATCTACAAATCTCTGAACGAAAGTGGCTACCATAAACACTATCTAAAAAGTTATTTTACTTAAGAATCAACTTTCCACTTTAGAGGTTTCATCATAAATACTAACAAGGGTAACTCGATAGCCAAGGTGATTCATACTACTTAATAACAAAGCTTTTTTATTACTGCTCCACTTTAGAGGTTTCATCATAAATACTAACAAGCCAATAGCCAACGTGATTCATACTACTCAATACCAAAGCTTTTTTATTACTGTCTCCACTGAAGCACATTTTAAAGGAGGAAAAAAAAAGAAAACTCACACTATTCATTTTTAAAGAGAGAATACAACTAAACATTGTATCCTTTTCTGTCACTTTGAGGTGCATTTTCTATTTTTTACAGGATAAAAAAGGTCAACATCTCAAATGGCTTCCAGCTTGACTTACAAACTGCTGGTAACCTCCGTTATCAAAGAGTGTGTGTGATCTAATAGGCCATGAACAAAGATTAATTTGCACTGCAGACTAGTGGCTAAAGTCACCCTCTGTAGCAAAAACTGCTACACGAGTCTCAGCAGCCCCCATGTGATGATGTCTCCTTCAGATCAATAAGGCACTTTGTACTGTGCCAAATCTCTTGTGACACACAAAATCAAAGCAATGAAAACATATGACAACTGTGCTCAGACTTGGGTTCTTTCTGGGTCTATGCAAATATAACATGAAACAGAGGGATGTCAAATCCTCACCTCTCCATGCTGCCCATATTTGATTTCATACATGAGGATCAGCCCGTTTGGATTTGCAGGCTCTAACCACTTCAGGTAGACCGTGTTTTCTTCTTTTGCTTCCCATGCTACTGTTCCTGGAATGTTATCTGCTCCTTCTGTAAAAGATTGACAAGTCATGCAAGAACACCGCTTATTACTGAAACAGGAACTTACACAAGGATTGAGGAAAATGTTTTCAACTATTCTTTAGGTACGAAAACACTGCGGCAAGCGCTGCCCAGGGATCTGGAGAAATAAGGGTACAGGCCAGGAGCTTGTTGGGGAGATCAGCATCATCTCAACCACCAGCTCCACGTAGCTCCACCAGCATCAGCCCTGTATTTATGGGACAAAGAACCTGTCTATCAGTGTCTGGTTCTTCCTCTCCCCTCGCAGACCTTCCACTAGCAAATAGACATATCTGCAAATGTCTGGGGTTTTTTGTTTTCATTTTGAGAGAGAGAGAGCCTGGCAAGCGACACAATAATCGCTTTATCCCAAAAACTTTTAGTTCTTGACAATTTAATGTTTTTTATGCAAAAGCCAACAGGGAATATGATGGATGCCATCAAATTAAGGCCACCTTTGCAAGAAGACAGTGGCTAGGTCCAAAAGAAGAAAAAAGAAAAACAGCACCGTTTAAACTTCAATTTTCAGAAACATATATTAAAAATCTGGGAATGGTTATTTCCTTTTCCCCAATCTCACAGATTTCCTGATTTCCTTGAAATAAGAAAAACTCTTTGCTTTTTACTGACACAGCTGGATCTGGATTATGATAGTGTTTCCTTCCAGAAACAAAGCAAAATTGCTACCAATCTGCAGAAAATATCCCCCGACATCTGCTAGAGTCAGAAGCTCTATGAGAATGCACGTGCGTTCGCACTAAAATCATCTCTATTCTTCTCAAAAGCTCTACAATCTGTAGAAGTCCCAAACATGAGATGGGTCCAAGGCATGGTCACTGCTGCTGCTACAGAAGAAACATTTGGCAAACATTCCCATTAGCAGAACTCTGACATCTGCAAAGAGTTCAGAGAAAATATATCAAAACAGAACACAAGGAGAGATGTGTTCCCCCTCTCTATGCAGCATACAGGGCACAAAAAAAAAAAAAAAACCCACCCTTCAGTCCACTATGTCTGCTGTGGGTCTCACCTATATAGCCAAGAGACTGATTCTCCCACAATTACCTACTTTTTCCATAATTATCTAGGCGCTCAGCATGCACACACCTTTCTCCATATCAGCAACTCAACGCATGGACACAGCAGTCAAGGCCACCAAACGACTGTACCATTTTACATGGTTCCAACTTGTTTTCTTGCACACAGTGTTTGTATTATACATCAGTGCTTGTCAATACGCCTATTTCAGAAGGTTTGTTATCCCTGAGATCAATCTCCCTCAGAGAAAATAAATCAAAACTTCATCGTTGTGAAAGCATACCTGAAGGCATGGTTCTTGCAAAGACAAAGTTGGAAGCGCTACAACCAAGCGTGTCAGCTTCGTGGTTGCAGCTGTGAATATCAATGCGGTAAAGAGTAAAAGGCTGGAGATGGGAGATCACAGTTCTCTCCTTGCCATCCACTTTGGTCTCAAAGAACGGGTATTCCACCTCACTCTCCTCTGCATCAGAAACATTGGTGAAGTGATCTGTCCCCGTCGTGTTCCTGTTTCGAGCGGCCAGGGTGGCATTTGCAATTCGGAACAAGTCCCTCCGCTTCCGGTCAGGTCTGTGAAGACAACAAACACATACAAAAAAAGGTCTATTTAGAGATATTCCACTTTTCGACACTCAAGTCCAAGAAAACAGTGGGGGGAAAAAAAAACAGTAAGGTAGTAAATAGTTTTAAAAAAAAGAAAAAAAAAGGAATAAAGGAAACTGTAAGACAAGAAGTAAATTTTCTCTTAATCTTAGCCCAAGTATGTCAACACGTTCTACTGCTATGTACCCAAAAACTGATCAAAACTCTGAAGCTCACAGCATGCTCCATGATAAACATGCAAACTTGTGACCTCCCTGGAGCCTGCACAATGAATTGAATAGCAAAAATGGCTTCAACTGTTATTCAGTAAGCAAAACAAATTGTATTTAAAGACACTAATGTCAAATTCTGCTGTCCCAGCCTAAAATAAAAAACAGATGTTAAAGGTTTAAAAAGTTAGGGAAAAATTGTTCTGAAGTCTGCTGCATAAGCAAGGCTATCTCTCAACAGGCCAGGCTTAACTTTTTTCCTTTTCAGCTGCAATGAAATTACAGAAATTTGAAGCTGTTTAATCTATTGAACCAAGGAAAGAAACCATGGCAGATGGATAAAAACCAAAGTTAACACCGTGCATGTGTGTCCATTTTTGTATCTCTGTTAACGCTCAGTGAGGCCTCCCTGCCCAAGGGCAAGAAGAAAGCTGACTTAGGAGAAGTTACCTTGCTATCAGCTACACCGTCTTGGTCCATTCAGCCCCAAGAAACATGCTGCAGAACGAGTCATAAACAGGCTGATTGCATTTTGAAATCTCCCATCAGTCTGGATTTCCTGTTTAATTCTGTTTTGCTTTTTATTAAGAAGTTCACTACAAAATATTCCCAAATCCTTTTACTTGTGTAGTCTTTTCAAGACTCTAAAATGCCACGTAAATAGCATGGAAATAAAACCAGACATGGAAATAACTTCCCAAGTTATCAGGAAATTGTTCTAAATGGCATATAAGCCCCACAATGCCCATTCAACTTCTCAACTTGTCAGTGGGATATGGGAGAAATTCATAGGAGATGTAACCACTTGACTCTCCTCCACAGTGATATTTATGGAACTTACTAAGCCTATTCACCCTGCTTAGGAAGGGGATGCATTTACTGCTTTAATTCACTGAAAATAATAAATTTTTGAACTGATAAAAGAGATGACAAGCACTGAGTTGATAAATATTTGCATAGATTTTTTAAGGAAAAGCAGTGAAAATCAAAAGTTCATTTTCAGTCAATGACAAAGCACATATCGATGCAGAGGGCATGAGTGCCTTGAAGGGATGCATGAAGTTCACTCCTCGGTGATCCTGGTTCTACCCCGTTTTTCAGGTGAAAGAGAAAGCAACACAAAACTTATTGGTGAAAGCAACAGTTACATCAGGGAAAGGAAAAAGATCTGTAGGATAACCACAAGTCAAACATGACTAAGAGGTCATGAGATTTGATCCTGCTGCCTTTCTATCAGCCAGCTTCCTGCTGCACAGATAAAGACCAAAAAGAAAAAAGAGCATCAAAGTAAGGAAAAGTTTAGCAATAAAAAACTGGAAATTCATATCTTCTGTTAAAGGAGAGGAAGAGAAAGACAAAAGGGAAATAAAGAGATAACATTACATATAAAAATAAAATCAAATTGAAATTAAAAAGAAAAAAATATGGTCACTTACCATAAAGGCTAACTGTTCTTAAACACTATGGTAATTTTGAGGTTATCTCTCGGATACCCACTATTATCCACAGCGTCACTCTGCCTGGTTATTAGAGAACCAGAAGAGACTTGAAGAATAACTGATACTCCTGCGGCTGCAAGGGCTTTTCCAAGACTAACCAGAGTCCTCATGTTTGGAACCTACGTCCTCTGCAGCACTAATACACACGGGATCATCCGGAAATTGCACACAACATCAGACCAACAGGGTTTTTAAACAACCTTAAAACCTCACAGTCGAATATTTTCATGTTGTATCACATGCTGCATATTTTTCTGAAAATATTCAGAAGACAGATAGGACACTGGAAACAAATGTTAGTACTAAGGCTTGCATTAACCTATTAGCTAACTTCTCCCATAGGGAAGGGGAAAAATAGACATCAGCAAGCAACGAGATGCCTGGATATGTCCTGTGGAGAAATCCCAGTAGCTCATAATCTTTAATTTCCCTGATATCCAGGCTCTATAAAGTCTGTTGGCCCTGCTCTTACTTCTGAACCTTGTACCTTATCTGCTCCTGCTCTTACAAAACACACTCTTGTGACAGCAGGTTAAGGGGAAACAGTCAAGCTCTCCGGAAATTGCTCCATCAGTTTGTTACTGTCTAAGTTCGCATTTCTGTGATTTTCCATTCACTTTCAAGGAATGCAAGAAAATTCGGCAGAAGACAAACAACATTTACTTGAAATTACAAAACTTTGCTGAAATACAAAAATAATAGTAAAAAAATTCCTTTGTGAAAGCTGGTCTGATACAGTTTCAGGCACTTTAGAGATAACACGTGCCTTTCAAAACTTCCTGCTGTGCTACTTCATTCAGCACAAAATGAGATCCCATCTATAGCATTTTGCATTGCTCAGAAACGGGGTGCGTTTTCCTGGCCAGTCGCCCTGGCTGCTGCCCCCTCTGCCTCACCTTTGGCTGCTGGTTCTTAGTGTTGGTACAAAAACACTGCACAACCTGAACTGCCAATGCTAAGTTTAAAGTGAGCTGTGAATCAAATACAGCTCAAATACAATACCTGCCATTTCCAAAAAGGGGTAGTATTTAGGTTTGGGCTGTGGTTTTGTTTTTTTTTTTTTTTTTTTTCCCGACAGATTTAAAAATCTTCAAACATAATCACAGCCCCTACCCCAAACAAGTCAACCTTAGCGTGCATAAAGTTCAAGTTATAACGAGCAGCAAAGCCTCACTGTTGAGTTCTCAAACACAGGACTTCACCATCAACTACACCTGCCAACAGAGACAGGGAGATAACACGCATGATTGAAATCTGATTGCTTACAGACTGTAACATAACAGCTATACACTGTGTGCTAGGCCCCAGGATCCAATTATCTTAAGTAAGAACAGCTGACATGAGAGGTAAATTAGAAACTCAAGGATCAAAATCACTGATTAATTCAGTAGTATCTACTCTATGATGCAGCATAAAATGGTTACTATTCCACTTAATGGGTAAGCGCCAGTGTTTATCATGGAAGAGTGGGCATATTTAATGCATCTCTGCAGCTGGGCTCAGGAGAAAAACAGGCCCTCTGCAATTAGCACAGCGAGAAAGGAAGACCAGTTGTGATTCTACCAGGTAAATGTATCTTCAATATCAAATGCAAATAAACTTTCAGATTAGGAACATAAGTACTTAAATGGCTATTTGGAAAAAGATCACATTTAAAACCTTTTGTTTACCACGTGTTGCTTATCTTTGAATCCCTCAGAGACAAAAGGCTCCTCAAGTGACTCTTGACTCTGAAAAGAAATGTTGCTGAAGTCCTTGAACAATATAGCTAAGAACTCTTACTATCAGTTAAAATAGAGAGGCAAAAATTAGCAAGGAAGAGAAACTGCAAAGTAGGAAGACTTAAGATTGTCCCACACAAATGGAAGGTCAATGTGCTTCAAGTGTCATCCACAGATCTTTCATGTTCAAGAAGCCTGAGCTCTAGGAAATGTTAAAGCCCACAATTAACCAGCTGACTTGCAAAGAGCAAGTTTCTAAAGTCCATTACCTGGGGACAAAGATAGAGTTGTGAAGAAAGTTCTCAAAGACTTTCCGGTACTCTGCTTCCTCTTTCTCAGCTTGTTTCTCTGCCTCCGTCTTGGGACAAGCACAACAAGGTCCTTTTTCTCCCCCGCAGCCCTCTGGCTTGGTGGGTTCAGTAGCTTCTTCTGTATCAATGGTCCCATCAGCATATCTTCGAATTGGGACTTTATCTTGAAAGAAAAGAGCACAGGGGACCCATTTGTTCTTTCTCCATATTGTAAATATGGCAATAACCCATGTTTACCTTTTCCTTTTACCTGCTCTTATGCTCTTATCCACAGAAGTGTTGTGAAACAAGGCACAGGCTTTAGTCATGATATATAACGTGCACTGACAGGCAGGACTCAAAGGCATTTCATAACCACTGTTTTTATTTTTCCTACCTTTGGAGCAGTAATTGTGTCTGTAAAGGTAACTGTCCTGAGGTTGCTGTTGCCATCTCACAATATAGTATGAGAGGTTGCCATTGGGAAGGGAGGGAGGGTTCCACTTCACGATCAGTTGGGAAGAGGAATTGGATGCTGAAATAACATCCAAAGGAATGGATGGCACTGTAGTGAAAAAGAACACACAAAAAAAAGGCATTTGAAACCACTTCCTGCAGTATTTTTGGATGCAAGCTTTCAAGGTGGAGCCTAATCCTCCTCTTTACTGCAAGAAAAACAACTCTACCTCAAAAGAAAAACATCTCCTATTTATGCCCCACTGAAAACAAATACGAAAGATTTAAGAGGAACACCTCACAGTCCCAACTGGAAGTTGTATAAAAACTACACTTCCTTCCTAAGACAAAATTTGAAATCCTAACTCCAGGAAAAAATGTCATTATTCAAAAGGAAAATGATGCCCAAAATAACTACAGAGTTTTTCTGCAAATTTTAATCCTCCTTAATAGTTGCTGACATTTTCTATCATTAGATGTCACCTGCAAATTTCTGTATTAAAAACAGAACTTGCTTTTCTGTTGCTATTCTAAATAAAACCGTTACTTACATTAAAAAGTGTATGCTACTACAGCCAGAGGTTTCATAGAGGAAATAATGAATTGGACTATTTTGAGAGGCACCAAGAGAACTTTCAGGGACAAGGGTTAAGTGAAAGGTAACATATCTTGTCTGCAGAATAAGAAAAACCTTCTGAAAGCCCATATAGACCATTAAGGTGAGGGAGGAGGAAAAAAAGAACTAAGAAGCACAATAATACATCCAATCCCAAAATATACTGGAAACACACTAGGCTTTATACTAAAATAGCTAGAATATTACTTATTGGGTAAATTTACCCTTTTTCATTTATTTTCTGTGTAAAACAGACACTTCTTTCATTCTTGTCATTATGCTCATGTGAACAATGGTTGGCTATTCCCTGCTAGCACTTATTTCATGAAGCAAATCAGGATACAAGTACACAGGACTGGTTTTCTCCTATATCTGAATAATCAAAATGCTTGGTCATCTCACCCAGCATCAACAAGGTCATGTCCAGTTCCTAACCAAAATAAGAAAACGTCTTGAATTTTTCTCCTGCATCATTTCGAGAGTCCCATGCTCCCAAAATTCCCTATCAGTAGAGTCAGGACTCCTTTTACTAGCTTAGCTGCCTTGGGCATCCTTCAGGCCCCCAGAGATGAACCTAATCCCCTGTCATCTACACAGTAAGGCCTGAGTTGATTGCAGTGATATAAGGTCAGATAGGACTTCAAAAGTTCCAAGCTGAACAGAAATGAAGATGATTCTACACACATTTTGCTTTCCAGCTGTGAAATACAGCTCTGTGAAACACAAAATGAGCATTAGCTTCTCCAGGGTGCACAAAAGTGTCACTGATGGTGGCTGCTTTCCAAGAGCCAAACACTTAATGGCCATTGTGCCCACAGATCTCAAAATGCCATTCAAAAAATACAAACAAGCAGCACTTGGTTGTGAACTCTAAAAAGGATTTTGAGCTCCCACTTGGTAAGTGGGTCCCACTGGATTTCTTCCATATTAGAAGCAATCTTTTCTCAAATCAACAGGTTTATTTAAACAACAAGAGGCAATAAGCACACATACAGCTCGATCAACCCTTACCAAGGGCCCAGGACCTCACCTGCAGCATTGGTTCGTATATATACTATTTCACTTTTTGCTCCGTGAATATGATGGTTTTCCATCATTGTGAGGGTAACTGCCTTGACATAAATGGCATATTGAGTCCAAGGTTTCAATCCCTGCAGTAAAATCCCAGGATTGTTCTCCTTGTTTGGTGGCAGGTCAACATCTACCATATTCCAGCTGTTGGAGCCGCATGCATCTTGCCCATCATATTCTGTCACATTCTTGAATGGGCTGTAATATTAAAAGAAAAAAAATAGTATTAAATCTTTTTTTCTTAAAGAATCCCCTAAATTTGTGAGAACATTTCACTTCAGCCTTGCTCCAAAAACAAATAAAGTTCACTTGATTTTCACAGCAGAACAAAACGGAGAATTCCAGATTTGTATTTTATTTCCAAGCACTACAAAACTCAGAATTCAGCTTTAGCTGCAGGTCTTACTTTTAATCCCTAGCAATAACGCGAGGTTCTCAAAGTAAACACTAGCCCTGGGTTTGCCTCGTGTTTTCAAAAGCAGACAGTGAAATGCTTCAGATGTATTTAGACTTCAGCTGTGCACAAATTTAGGAGAAGCCACTCAAAATAGTTACCGATAGTAGCTGAACTCTTATTGTAAAGAGCTCAGATTTCCACAACCAGCCTTTCCCAGGCCTCCAGAAACCAACAAGCTTTTTTCTCCTTGTATTTTCACATGATGCAAATGTACTAATATAGGCATATAATTCCACTTCTCCTAACTTCTAAATTGCACGGGTGCAAGACCACAAAAAGTACTGCTTTTGTTTATTCTTTACTAGAGAATCATCAAAACTAAATTTGCTGCATCATACACCACCAGAACAATCTTTTTTTTCCCAAACAATATTGGGCATTAATATCTTTTGTTTCCATCCTCATAGCCTAGCTCTGTACGTCACTACTACCACGTTGCACTTTTCACCCATCCAGTCTGCACTATGACTTACTACTGTGCTCATTTGTGCTTTGATTCTCAGGGACTAGCAAAGGCAGAGATATGTCCTAAGAAATAAGGTTTTCTCCAGCAACTGTCCCACTCTTTCATTAGAAAGAAATGCCAGTGCAGAAAACCATGGAGGCTGGATAACCAAAATAAGCCAACCCCTGTGTACACTGGTCATGGAGATGACAAGGGTTGCTCTAGAAGCTCTCTAGTCCATACTACGACTACAAAAGTAAAATATCTCAACAGACTTAAAGGCATGGCTTAGAGAGAGCTCCAAATTAATGATCAGAGAATAGGCAAGCCATACATCTCATTTTCTAAAATTGGAAACCATCCCAAGGATTTAGAATCCATTTGCAGGTTTCAATCAAAACAATCCTTGTTTTAAATGGGACTTTTGCTCTAGCCAAAAGAGAATTTGAACAAAAGAGGGACTCAAGGAAGAAATATGCAACTGCCTAGAGCAGGAATTACCTGAAAGACTTTGCTGGCTCACTCTCTTCAGACAGTAAACCAGAAGTTGGAATAGAAACCCTAAACATTGTCTAGCATCCCTTGAGTGTCCCCACTAGTCTCTGAAGGCATCTACTCACGCTTCTTTGTAGTAAACAGTGAAGCTAATAAGATCTCTGTAATCTGGAGGGCGATACCGTTCCCATGTTAGTTTAATCCGATTCTTCAATGTAGTGTTGGAAACAAAATGCAGAATGTGGCTTTCACCTGCAACACAGAAGGCAAGCACATAGCAGAGTTAGCATCACACCCTTATTTCTTTTTTAGCTATTCTTAAGTGTGAATTTTAGTTAATTAGCCATTTCTGTAACCTATGATAGCACATTATACCAGTGGCTGCTTTCTCCTTATAGCCTGATGTTCATTCTGCTGTATTTGGGTGCATAAAGGTCCTGGAAATAATTTCAGAATATACTGGAGTTCCTTCATTGCTTTTAAAAACAGATTTTCTTTAATGCATCAGTAGAAAACTCCTGAAAGCTACTGCAGCCTCTCCCTGAGGGAGGAATGGAAGTCCTGCTCCTCTGCAGGAATGGTTTAGTAGCACTAAGTTTGTCACCCAACTCCACTGCACAGGCAGAGCAGCCTCTGTGTTCCTACTTTTTAGGGCAACTTTTAGTAACCACAACTTTATTTTTCGGGGGATTTGATAGAACAGTTTATGTTCCTGTTCATCAGAGGCTGCACGAAGAACTCCTAAACTCAGCTCATAAACAGCACAGCCATTTGATGGCAGCAGCTTCCAGCTACTCCTCTGACCAGAGCTGGATGGAAGCCGGCAGCTTTGAAACGAATGGCTTCCCACTAGGAGCTCTCAGAGCTTTCCAGTCCAGAACAAAATAGCATTTTAAAAACTTAATTCTTGGATGAAGAAATTGTGCTCTAAGTGTCAACTGCGAGTTAGTTCCCAATGTTCCATAAAAGTCTCTGAAAATAAAGGGGTTTTCACCCTCATGTACACTGGCACTATTGGTGCTATCTTTTCAAAGGCAGTTTAGCTTTTGTTGATTCTTTGCCCCTTCTCGGAGTCAGAAAGCTTTCTGTAACCATTTTAAAAAGCAGGCAGTGGCTGGCACTAGCCTCGGTGGCAGTAAGGCCTGGCTGTGTGTCTGTAACTCCTCCAGAACTGCAAGTCTTTGCTCTATTGAATGTGCAAAGAATGGAGTGTGGTTACAACAAGGATCTATGCCATCTGCATTTATGCATCGTGCCTAAAGAGACATTCAGCAGAGTACGTGTCCCAGTTTTGTAAACACCATCCAGTACAAGGGGACTCGACTGATACACAAGATACATTTTCATTTACTCAGCTCCAAGAACACCACAAATAGAGCAAAGAAGGAAGCACCATCAGTTATAAGGGTTTTCCTGCTTAATTGCTAGATGAGAGACTGCTCTTAAATGTGTACATTACACCAGGAGACCCGACATGAAAATTGAGGGCAATAGAAAATTTTCCAGTAACTTTGACCATTGTGGAATCCAAAATTGAATGCAAAGACACTGAAGCTCAGAAATATGGTAGAACATTAAATACTGCTCTCAGGTCAAACACAAATAAAACACAGAAAGTTCATCTTATGGCAAGTGTGTTTATTACTAGTAACTAGTTACTAGTAACGGTTCATCTGGAGCTAGAAAGAACCTTGAACATAGCAGAACCAGCATCTTGTGGTGTCTAAGGAATTGCTGCTCTGCAGCCTCTTTCATAGCAAGGAAAAGTAAATATTTCGGAGAAGAAAGTATCTTTAATGTTGTAATTTTGCAAAGCAAAAGAGAGAAACAACTCCTCACTAGACATGCCAAAATCTATATTTTATTTCTTACTTGCCAGGTTGACCAAACAGTAAAATAATAATGAGAGAACTGATATGAACCTTTCCAAAAAGGCTATTTTAAAGCAGGCCCCTATTATTACTACAAGATGCTGCTGTTGCAAAAAAAAAAAAAAAAAAAAAAAAAAGGTATTAGGAAAGCATTGTGCTTTCCTCATCAAAAGTTTCTTTGCTTCTTCATTTTTCAGATGAGATAGCCATTCTGCAACCACAAAATCTTCTGCACACATGCTTTCAGCTACATTTTGAGAACAGATCAACTAGAATGACTGGAAGTCTACTTTAATTTCCAGTCTCTAAATGTTGTAATATCCAGCTATACAGCAACATGTTTTGGGATTTTATGGTTTTTTGTGGGGGGGTTTTGGTGTTTTTTTTCCCTCCCTTTGGTGACACAGTTGTCTCACACTCAGAAGCAGTTTGCCCAAAGATTTTTTGACTTACAAGAAGCTCTCTCCCCGTTGTTCCTCGGATTTATATCTCCTTTGCTCTGTCGTCCCTTGGTTCCTGAAACTTCCTCCATACGGTAAATCTCAGAAACACACAGCTTAGGATTAAACGCAAAGTACATTTTACCCTCCTTGATCGTCAAGTTATGATGGTTCCAGTCCCACAGCTGCTGAAGATTGTGGTTGTCAAGCACATAGAAAGAATAATTCCTAGAGGGAAATATATTTTTTGAAGGGAAAAATATTAGTTTTAATTCATAGCCAGTTCTCACCAAGAAAATCTTAACAGAAGCAAACTTGAAAACACTGGATTTCCTCCTATCACAAGACAGTGAACACAGCTGCCTTGCTTATGTTTACAAAAGTAGCTGTACAAGTTTGCACAGGGAGGTTTCCTCACCTCTCATTTACCTGTTGGCCCAGCAAAGATCCCCTGCGCTGAGCCAAGCACAGTTGCATCTATACATCAAAACCTGAGAGGGAGCTGTCACCCTGCACGGGGTCACCCAGCAGAGGATGCACCCTTCAAAGTGCAGCGTGAGCAGCGCAGACAGCAGCAGCACGCGCTGAGCGTGGACCCTTCTCTAAGCTACACCAGTGGAACACATGGACATCCTTTACTACCACGGGGACCCAATGCAAAACTGTGTACGTAAATCCTGCAGATTAAGAAGAAATTCAAGGTGTTAACTGAGAAATGGGTGCAGCAGAGGGGAGAGCGGAGGCTCTGCATCAGTTGTAAGATGAGGCCAAGCCTCTGAACAGAGGCAGGGGGTACATCTGGCCCAGGCCACGCTGTTTGAAGTCCCCAGATGCTCTGCACAACCCCTGCCCACCTACAGGAGAGCGGCCCCACAACGTCACGGGCACCCCCAGCTGCACAGCGCCCAGCACAGGTTTATGGCAGCTACAGTTTGACCAAGCTGGGATGCGAAGGACGTACGGGACGTACGGAAAGTGCGTCAGTTCTCAGCGTTACCACGAGGAGAAAGACAAAAGTCACCACTGGGCCACAAAGCTGGGATATTAACCAATAGAAGGCAGGAGAGAAGGAAAACCCAGATTATTTTTGTTAGTCCTAGTCAATAAGAATATAAAAAGGGATGGTGGGACGGGGACAGTCATGTAATGAGAATCTATAGGAAGAATCTTACCTGAACCTCTCATCCCACAAGGTAACCCTGGCATAAACAACTGCTGTTCAAATGCTTCGACACTTCTTAAGTTAAGACCCTGTCCCCAGTAGTTAACATCTCTACCAAGCTAACTGTTAAGTTTTTCCTTGACAGGTGCATACTTTTATCTAAATATTTTAGGAAACAATATTTAGATTGTGGTCTAACAATCTAAACTTGTGGTCTAAGTTGTACTAGAAAATTTGCAAGCAAACACTGCAAAGGGGAAAATTGGCAGGGGCAAAGGCTGCCCCAAGCCCAGGTATGTAACTGTAGTAATTTCCTAGCATGGGTGAATTTAGCATGAGCAGCTCATCAGTAGGGACCTACCTTCCTTCCCTAATTCAGCCCTGTTTACTTCTTGGAAGCTTCACCATTCCCTTCTCTATTTGGGAATTCGATTTAATAAAACCAGCCATTTCCTTTCATACTAGTTACGTTTGCTGACATACAGGATTCCATGAACATAATTACTACTTAAAGCCCAAAGCTGAACTCAAGTGTGGAGGAAGAGCGAGCGTGCGTGCACGAGAAGGGAGCACAAACCCATAGCCGGGGCAGAGCACGGCACACGGCGAGGGCTTGGAGGGAGCCCCGCGCCCGGCACAGCAACAGCCCTCCAGGATTTGCGATTGGAAAAGAGCTTTTCCATGGAGCCAATGTCCTCCCTGAGCGCAGAGCCTGCTTCCATGTGCAGGATGACGAGCTGCCCTCTCGCTCGCTCGGTCAGACGGTGGAATTTTAAGAATTTAAGGCTGACCAAAGACCAGCCTGAGAGAAAGAGGGAGGTTGTGAAGAGTCCCTCCTGCCGTAACTTTATCCTGTTGGGGCAGACAAATCAGAGACAAGAACCTTTCCCATGACCTTCCCACCACCTTTTCTTACACCATTTCCCAAAATTCTTTGTTTAATGGTTCTCTCACTGCGCGAAGAGACTTATTTCTCCCAGAGAGCAGCAGTTTCGACTTGGGCAACTACTTTGCTCAGGAGGAGAAAGGCAGCAAAGCATTTTCCTGAAGGAACATCTACGCCTCAGCAGTGCAAGTTCTGCAGAAGTTAGATTTGCATCTCAGCTATCGATCTCAGCACAGAAAAACAGGAACCACATAGAGCCAAGTACCAAAAAGCATCACACGCTATGCAATTGTGTACATTATGGAAGCAGCGTAACGCACAGCAAACATTTCAGGGGAAACCAATGTTACTTTTTCTGACCAAACTCTCCTCTGCTCAATAGACAGTTTAATGTCAGCATTTTAAGGAATTACAAAGAACTAACTTGCAAACAATTTCATGCTAGTTGGACCACTTCCAATTGCACTCCCTAGTTCCTGAAGTTGAAATTTCCTTTGAGTTGACATTTTTCATTGGACTCTGGTAAAAGCCAACAGTAACAGTTTGTGACAAAGCTCTATGACTTCAGAAAATGCTTGTTTCTGAATGACATATAGCAAAAATGGGAAGAAAACACTGTTTTCTCAATGTAAAAAAAATCTCTAGAAAATACCCTTCCAAATGAGAAGCAGCTAAGTTACCATACAGATATTTTTAATACATTCAATTAAGTATGCTGGGTGATGACTGTGCAATGATGTTCATTAGGAGAAAAATGCTGCATATTAGTGGAAGAGGAAATTCTATACATGTCACACAAAAGTTCATTAGAGGACTTACTCTCTGTGGCTTTCCACTGCAGTGAAATTGCACTTACAAACACACCAACACTCACCCATCCACTTGCTCCTCTCCCAGAATATACCGCAGGTTCTTCAAGAAAGAGAGGGAGACCAACGCGTGGGAATGGCGAATCTTGACGTACCCCGTTACTGTCTCAATCAGACCCATAAAATTCTCCAGTTCAGAGGCGATGTTGCCTGCATTAAGAACAAGGCAGGTCTTTTATTCCAGAAGTCACAGCTTTACCCAGTATCCTGCCTAATGCAATGTTAGTTCATTAAAAGAAAGTGTTTTTATCTGTTGCTCTGATAATGAGAGATGCTGATTTTCATCTGACAGTGACAGTTGCCTGTGTGGGCAGACAGGTGAAGGGCAAAATAAAGCAACACAGCAATAGTGGAACATTTTTCTTAATTTTTCCCAGTGATGTGTCTTCTTCCTTCACACACGCTGTGTTCTGAAGCCAGCACCAAATCTGCAGCCCCAACACCAGCGGTTGGTTCCCACACAAAATAAGCTGGTAGGAGGCTGAGGCTCTTTAACTCCTTTTAGTTAACTGATAACCACAGTTATAAAAGCAAATAAAAACTCAGAGTGATCTTGTTTTTGTTGTTTTAAGAACTCATCCATTGTTGATGCTTCCCGGGCTGGTGAATAACTGCTCTGATAAATATAACCCAGTCCTGGTGCTCAGTCCTAACAAAAAGCTAGTGAAAATATCAGCCTTTGCTGTCTCACACTTGGTCCTTCACTACTAATTCAACAGGCACATTGGAGTCATGCTCCAATGGGCCAAGCTAAACAGGCCAAATCCTTATCATGGTTGGAGCAGAGCTATAGAATTAGAAAACAAACAGTTCAGTGAGTTTTTAATGTTCTTATCATTATGTTCACAGAGAAAAGGAGAAACACCAAAAGGAGCCTTATCGGGGGTTCCTAGGAAAGGGCAATCACTTACTGCCGCGGCGGATGTTAATCAGCAGGTTCCCCTTGAGGATTGTGCATCCCTGCAACATCTGGGCTGATGTGACGGAATCAATGGTCTTGGTTTTTCCATCCTCGCAAATTTTGGGGCAAGGCCCCTCACAAGGACTGCAGAACATACTGTTAGGGAAGAGAAGCAGAAGAAAATTAAGCCATGATATACAGCTCTGAACGCACAGACTGTTGTGAATTCATTCAAAACAAATTTCCACCCCAAGCTTACGGAAAAGCCTTGGAGCTAGAATGAAGATCAACGTACTTGTGCACGAGCCTGCAGTCTGCATGCAGGATCAGCATCATGAGTGATGTGGAAGGGATAAGCAGAGCTGGCCACTATTGCTTGTAAGAGACACTAAATTAGCAAGTTTAAACGAAGGATGCGTCTGTGCACAAAGGAAAATTAACTTGTGCAACTCACTGGAGCAGGAATTGGGAGAGACCAGAAAGGTGAAGAGGTTCAGAAGGGATTACACAGACTCAGGGAGAACAGGTCCACCAGGGCCTGTAAAAAACTAAGGCCCTATGTGTTTGGGAGGAGCTGGGAAGAAGCAGTGAAGGACAGGCTCCCTTGCCCTTTTTATAAACATCTACTCTTTTCTTAGCATTTCTTTCATACTCTTTTCATAAACATTTGTCACACACTTCTCATAAGTGTTTTGTTTTCGTTTTAAATCTCGCCAAACTCGAGCAACAAGAATCCAGGCCAGTTTGGTCTTTGGCTATAATAGCTCCTTAAAGGCTTTATAGCATATTGCCTCATACTCATGTCAAAATTAAACACTTCATTAACGGACAAAGTGATCAGAGAATCACCCCCTCTTGTAAATGGCTTTCCTCATTCAAGGTCAACTTTATCTTGCAATTTCTTCCACCACCACCTTTCGCATTTCGTTCTTGTTTCCTCTGTGTTATTGCTTTGGAAGGAAAAAATGCAAAAGGAAAAACAAACAAAAAAAACCAAACCTGACTCCAAAGGCTCTCAAAACAAACAAACAAACAAAAAAAACAAACCTGACTCCAAAGGCTCTCAGTGACAATGCTGATGAACGTGGACTGTTTTGTTACTTTAAAAAATAACGGAACCCACTTGACTCTGAGACTTAAATAAACTAGTAAAAATGCTGCCCTATAGCCTGCCACAAACCACTAAAAGCTGCAAGCACACGCAAGAGGCACCAAGAATGCTGGAAATGCTTCCCGCCTGCGCCTGGGTCTTACCACCACATCTGGGGAGCAAAATATTCCCTGGCCTCGCGTTCCGGCTCCGCTCGGCCTCTGCTACGGCACGGAGCGGCAGAAGCTGAGGTGGCCCAAAAGGCCAGGAAACGAGCAGGAAGGTTTCTCAGGTGACTGTCTGGGTCCAAAGGCAGTGCCAAACTGCCCGCAATCCAGAGGCAACCTGGACATTGTCTCAGTATTTGCATTAATAATACACGTGCTCAAAACAACGGGTGCAGGTACCCAGGCTCCTCAACCACCTGTCCAAATACAGATACCCTACATAGCCTATGAAAAACATTTTTCTTTCTTTCTTTCCTTTTTTTTTTTATTTAGTATAGTTGAAGCCCTAGAGATTTCTGCACACTGACAGTCCCATACACAGAAAGGGGCAGGATTTCCAAGGGTCAGTGGGCAGGCAACTGAGGCTGCTTGCTTAACCACCGGCAAAATAAGAAATCACTAAAAGTACACACTACTCCAAAAAAAAAAAAAAAAAAAAAAAGTAAGAGCAGGTGAGGGAGCTTCTTGCAATAAAATATTCCAAATAATACTATCGCCAGCTGCATTATTTTTGTAACCATCTTCATGACTGCTCCCTTCTAAAACACCATTGTTACTTCTGAAAACAATGAAAAAAGAAAAGAGAGGGAAAGGGAATAAAATTAAATACACAATGGAATACATGCCATTTAAAATGCAAAATCCAAGTGCGTATAAAGCAATTAATAGGTGAATCAAGACAATCCCCACGGTTTGCTCTATATGAGATAACGTCAGAGCAAAATCTTCTTTCTGCAACTGGCTGACAGCCGCCAACCTTCACCCTCACCTCCCTTGACTTGCATTTCCGTGTTGTTAGTGTCTGCCTAGGTGGTTCCCCGTTGCCCTAACCTTGCTCCACTCCTGCTGCAAGCTCAGTGGGACCTGCCAACGTGCAGCACCACGCAGGAGCAGACCCTGCGTATTCCCGCTTCTTCCTAACACAACTTGCATCAGAAGCCTCCCACAGAATTGGGGGGAAAAAAAAAAAAAAAACACAAAAGCCAATCAGAAACCTGCTGGAGTTCCAAGCAGCTGCATTACCTCTGGCTCCCGTTGCGTATGAACCCGGAGGGGCACTCGGCCATGCACTCGTCGTTGTGGATCACGAAGCGCTCGTACTCGCTGATCTCGGTGGCGGGCACCTTGGAGCAGAACTCCTTGGTGACGCAGCGCCAGCCCTCGAACTTGTAGGTGTTGGGCGGGCAGGTGGGCAGGCAGACGCCCTCGTAGTAGTAGTTGCGGCAGGCGACGCAGGCCGTGTTGTTGTCGGGCGCCGTGCAGCTCCCCAGGCACTCGGGGTGGCAGCACTCGTTTTGGTCGGTGCACGCTCGCTTGCCGCAGGAGCTGGGGCACACTGCAACACAGACAGAACGGCAGGGGGAGCGATGCTGCTCGCTGAAAACGAACAGACACAGAGAGGGAGGCACGGCAGATGGGAAAAAAATCATCTGTGTGCTTCCATGCTTTCATTTCCCGGGTTCTAGGAGAGAAACGACTCCCCTAAAATGCATAAATCTCATTGTTTTTCTCAGTTTTAGTTGCCTGAAAATACCTTTTCCAAGATCAAACTTAAAGCACGAGACAACAAAATAGCAGAGATGACAGCTGAAAGCAAGATCCACAAGATCCACACAAGGATAATGGCAACAACCAACTTCCAGAAGTACCACCACTAGTATTATGTGAATTTTTTCTTTTTTCTTTTTTTTTTTTCCTCCTGTCTTTTTAAGCATTTCTCATCCTTCCCATTTGCACTTCAAATTGGTCTTCTCCTGGCAACAAAACAAGCTTCCTTTAAACAGCTCCACTGCACTTGTGCAAGGAAGCACCGCTAGACTGCAGCGCAGTGGCTGCGACGGCCCCAGCGCAGCACCCCGACGTCGCTAGTGCAACGCTGCAAAAAGCACTTTAATAACATGCAGATGGTAACACATCACATCAGGCCCT